TGACTTTCTTATAGAATAATAATAATGATGAATAATCCAACAGATGAAATCGAAGTCTCTTCATCATCTAAAAACATCATATCAGCTACACGTTCATACTCAATTCGTGTTACTCAGCAATTAAATTTATTTTCTGATAATCCATTTTGGTCATCAACATTAAGTGTTTCTGAACAAATTCTTAGTACTCGACTTTTCCTTGTATTAATTTCAATATCTTTATTAACTGTTATTGGTTATGCTAGTTTAACAATTCGAACATATGATGTAACTCTAAATAAATTTTCTTTATCTGATTTTGAACGACTTGGAGTTCTTTATCGAAGTACAATTAAAGCTCCATGTACTCAAGTATCAATACCTTTTAATAAAGTTTTGAATTTATCTTCTCAATTTCATCCAGTATGTTCAAGTCCATTTATACGAAGAAAATGGATATCTTCTTTATTTCTTTTCAATGCAACATCTCATAATATTTTGGATTATCGTACATTTGCTTTTGCTCAATTTCGTTCTCTTCGTTTACTTTGTCATTTGTCACGTCGAGCTGTTAATGATGCATGTCGTGCATTTAATACTACGCATTTAATTGAGCGTAATGCTTTTTCACGAGCTCGATTTAATGAAATAGCTTCTATTCTTGTTGCTAATCTTAAAAGAAATGTTTTGACTAATGAAAAACGAACTGCAAATGTAGTATCGATGATGACAGCACAGAATCGATTATTATCAGCTTTACGTACAAATTATTACATTCATTCTGTACCTGGTTCAAGAAACTATATAACATATAATGTAGTTTATTTAGAAAAAAATGGAACAGAAAAATCATCTTGTGATTGTAGACTAAAAGGAAATCAATGCACATATCCAGCTGGTGCTTTTTATAATTGGACTTTACCGGAGCTAGGAAAACCAGCTAAAAATGATCCACCACCTGAATTTCAGGTAAGCTAATTTTCGTTTTATATTATTCAAAAAAAATTATTTTTAGCAGGAGAACAATTTCTTCCAAGCTATGTTGAGTAAAACAGCTTAAAAATATCTGCCGTTATGGCAATTATTTATGTATCAATAGAAATAACCATTATTTTTGCATGGAATTATAGAGATACATAATAGTAAATTATGCTTGAACACTGCCTATTTATTATATATTTTACTCTTTTTATATTAATGTAAAGTTCCTACCAACTTTTTTTCTAGTATTTCATGCATCTGTCGATAGTTTGTATCGAGAATCTATTCAACGATATTAATTGCGTGAACTATAATAACATTTGTAACAAATTATACGATCAATAGTATGATCTCCATGGTCAATTTATCGAAGAAAACTAAACACTTTCAAATATTCTACGTTCAATCGCTAGAATATCGAAACTAACATATTTGGAAAAGTTTAAAAAACGAAGTTAAAATGAACGTTGTCATTCTTTCGCATTTGAATACCTATTATTCTTAAGGTTAATATGCTTTGGTTAGTAATTAATTAACTCATTAGTTAATTTGAATGGGTCAATGTTTATATTTGTTTATGTATGCAATTATTGTTTTTGTCTACTTTCGTGTGTATTTTGTATAAATTATGTGCATATTTATCTTTATGTATGAACTCTACTGATGACATAAAACATCTCATCATACGTAGTAGGAAACATACACAGAATATCATAAAGAACCAGATTGCACTAAATAAATGAAGTTGTATTATAGCAAAAGCTATGCATTTAAAGTAATAGACAGTTGAGAAGCCAGTAGAAGTTCAACTCATCCTACGGACCTTTGAGTTCGCTTTCTTCCTTCCTTCCAACCCAAAATTCTGGTTCTGCCACTAACAATGAATAACTCTATTATGAATAATTGGTCTTCTACACAAGTGATCCAACATGACACTATTTTCCATAATCGAAATAAGGCCTATAACAAGGTAGTATATGTAAATGAGCTAATAACGAAATTTACAATTGATGAAATGCATTTTAAGTGTTGGTTCTTTTAAAAACGATTTTTGAAGAAACATAATATATATATTTAGATTCCTGGACTGATGGCTGGATGTATGCCACTTGATTCCATACGTCAATCAACTCTTGAATGTTTATATAATCAATCATGTATAAATGCAATATCACTTCAACCAAAAATTTCTCAACCAAAAGCTTTGAATACATCTTTATCACGATTTTCAATAAATTTAACAATAGGTTCAATGTTTGATGAATCTTTATTTGTTGAATTTTGGCAACATCAATCGAGTTTTGAAAATTATTTCGTTGCTTGTGCACCTCGATCACTTTCGTATAGTTATGAAAGTCGATTTCATATTGGTACAATTATTACTATGAGTCTTAGTGCTTTCGGTGGTCTTGTTCTTGTTTGGCAATTAATTACACCAGCTCTTGTTCACATTTGGAAACGAATTCAATGGAAAAAACTACAAGCTCATAAATTTACAACTGCACAAAAAACTGATGTAGAGATAGAAATTACGAAAATGGTGCCAAAACCAATAGATAAAGGTTAGCAATACATATAACTATCCATTAAATATATGTATATGCACCTTTAACAATATTTTCCTTTCAAAAAATAATTCGAACATATATAGGTTGAACCAAAAGAAGGATGATCGATAAGTAGGGAAATTGGCCCCTCGAGATATTCGGTTTCTTGTATAATTAGGGCTTTAGCACTTGTTTTTACTGTTTTTAAGTCAGCCGAAATGATTGCCTACTATTACATGTACACTAAATCCAGCTATTGATAATAATCAGTTTATTTCGACTGTTAATTTGATGGCCAGTAAGGCTAGTTTTCTTATAGTTTGATAATATTTTCCGACCGCTACAAGATAGTATAAAAACATTCAGAAAAACTATTGATCAATATGATTTTATAACAACCACATTTCTTCGATGTGTCCACATTATGAGATATTATGTGTTTTCTATTGAAATGAAATGTTAATATGAATCAGTCTAATCATTCGTCAGATTGATTTTAACATGATCCGACAGAATTTTTCAAGCACTAAAAAATCTTTTTAAAGCAGCCAGTATTTTTCTTTTCAAAACTTTAATACTATTTTGTAGCGCTCGAAAACCACTATCAAACTATATGACTACTTTTCTGACAGGCTTCTAACTGTTAGGTAAAAAAAGTCTGATTATCATTAACAGCTGGATTTTATGTACATGTGACAGTCATGGACTATTGTACTAAAGGACTGGTTTTACCAGAAACTTCTTCTATTTAGGAGAGCGACATTTAGAGCATAGATTCTAGGTAGCTGTTGTGATATTTCATGGCAAGTTTCATCCGTGTAACTCGAGAATACTTCCTATTCCCAAAAGTTACACATTCCTGCATCGCCTTC